AAAAAAAAAGATTGATGGAGAGGATCTGGCAAACATATTGCGATATATCAGGAAAATATCGTGATATGGGACTGTAAGAGTATGTTCATTCAACGGTGAGTTTTTAAAAGAGGGTGCATGTAGAATCGGGTTGAAATCTGACCCGTTGGAAACCCAATTTCAGTTGAAGATTTTTCTCTCTCTGTGAAAAACTCAATAACACAATCCTCTCTTTTTGAATGTAATGCAAACCCACAATTAGAAAGATCCAAAGCTCCCAAACCCTATAGTTACTCCATTGTCATCAGTTCCTTGGGAGGCCTGCGATCTATGGTATCCTCGGTATGACGATTAATGGCTTTTACCTAGCTATTGCCCTGTTTTGATTCTATGGCTAAAGTGAAAACCCTTTCTCTTTTTCGTTCAGCAGACGAGATTCCAAATGAAAGCAAAGTAGCATATCTCTTTCTGTAGCTAGACGCTGCAGCAGCAGTTGTTCCTCGATTTTGGTAGAGATGGAGTCTCCACTACCAAAGAATCTTCTCTAATGTCCACCACATTCTCTCAAGCTGACTGACTTCGGAGCTCCCGATTGACTTTGAGAGGTAAGTTCACTCTTGCTGGATTGATTTTGTTGGGTTTGGTTTGTTTTTTTGTGAGGGTGGGAAATTCGTCATTTGTGGCATCAATAATGTGTCATTTGTGGAATCAATAATGCGTCATTTCTGCTATCAATAATACATCATTTCCTTATGAATATTCAATATACTTAGTTGATTTTTTTGGGGGGGTGTGGAAAATTATGAAATGTAGGTAAAAGATCCTAAACTTAGGCTTAATGGCATTAGGAGTAAGCATTTGAAGAGGATATTGGGTGAAGTTCTATAATTGCTGGTTTGAATTACATTTGTGTTCTTAGTTGAACATGTTGGTTCTAATGTTATTTTTTCCAGATTATTTCACAAGAGATGACGTAACTATTATTAAATTTTGCTTGAGTTTTGTGTAATCGGAATCCAACAAGCTAGGTTATGCGTGTTTTGTGTCAATTTGGGCAATGGTTTGTGTAAGTGGAATGCATTGATATGTTGTGATGCAGGAATGATTGATTAATGAATTAATATTTGGTATGCAGAAATATAGAAGTAGATCAATAATATACGTGGATAAAATGTCTGGGGCCTCAGAGAGTGATGAATGTGTAACAGCTAATGGGAGGGTTTACATTCCTGAAGTAAGAAATGAGGAAACACCAGCAGTTGGGATGAAGTTCGACTCGCTTGACCTCGTTTATAATTTCTATAATAGATATGCATTCTTGGCTGGCTTTGGTATTCAACTTCATTCCAGCTTTTGGGGGGAAAATAAGAAAGAGATTCTGAGGAAAGAATTTGTATGTTGCAAACAAGGTGCATACAGAAAATATGAAACTCGGGAGAAAAAAAAGACAACGGGGAATAAGTAGATGTAATTGCAAAGCTAAGATTGCGGTTGTGAAGGCAAATGGCAGCAAGAAGTATATCATCTCTCTTTTTACAGAGGGACACAATCATAAGATGACACCTTAAGAAAGAATACATTTATTAAGATCACACCGTTGTATTTCAGATTCTACAAAAGTACTCACAAAACAGTTGGGTTCAGTTAATATTCCCATTAATCAGAAGGTAAGTATTTTCGAGGTGCAGTCCGGAGGAATGGATAAAATCGGTTTTATCAGAAAAGATATCTACAATCTTGAATGTAGTGTGAATGGGAAGCTGAGGAACCACGATGTTGAACTAGTGACCGAGTATTTTATGGCAGAACAGAAAAAAAATGAGGCTTTTTATTTCAAGATTGAGGGAGATGGCGATAACAGGTTTAGTCGATGTTTTTGGGCAGATGCAACTTCTAGACGGGCGTACGGGTTTTATGGAGATGTTGTTGTATTCGATACCACATTCAACACGAATAGATACGACTTGACATTTGCACCAATGTTGGGAGTTAATAACCATGGTCAAACAATTGTCCTAGCATGCGCATTTTTGAGCAAGGAAACGACTGAGTCGTTTATTTGGATGTTTGAGGAGTTTAAGAAAGCCATGCCAGGTGGCGAACCTAAAACGATCATCACAGATCAAGATGCGGCAATGAGCAGAGCGATTTCAATAGCCTTCCCGACTACATTTCATCGACTTTGCATATGGCACATCACATCAAAGTTCTCTGTTAAGTTACCACATTCTGCTTATAAGGAGTATTGGGGTGAATTCCAGAAAGCCATATAGGATACTGACAATAAGGATGAGTTTGATGCAAAATGGAATAGTGTGGTTACAAAGGCTGGTTTGACTGACCATCCATGGCTAAGTTCAATGTTTGATTTAAGGGAATTTTGGGTTCCAACCTATGCACGACACTTTTTTGCCACTGGAATGTCAAGCAGCCAAAGAGCGGAATGTTCTCATGGTTTCTTCAAGCAATACATAT